AAAATTTTTATTCTATATTTTCGACTCCTTTTTTCGCGTAGAATCACCTCCTTTCCGCTTGTACCACCAGTTACCAACCATCCTGTATATTAACTTGTTAATAGCAGCGTTATATTGAATCAACCACCCTTATTATCCCAAAAGAAATAAGTGATCGAACGATTCGTGGCGTCGATTTGTCAAATCGTAACGGGAATTTACGACTCCCGTTGGCGCGCTTCTTCGAGATCGCGTCTCCCCGCGAACGTCCGAAAGTTCAAAGGGTATGTTCTATCTTTGGTTATTCGATAATTTTAACGATATCCGCGGGCACTTGCAACTTGGTTGAATGCTTGTTCCGCAAGCAACATTGCTTGCTTTTTACCTATCAACGCGCTTCACAAAAATAACCAAATTGTCAGGGAATAGAGGGAGAAAAAAAATAGTAAACCGTCAGAAGATGGTAAACAGAAAAGCGCAGTCGGTCGTGACGTAAGGGGTGAGAACTAAAAAAACGGCGAGGACGCAACACTCCGGCGGGTGTTTTACGATTCCACGCTGAGAACTCCGAATTACACGCGTGTACGCACTCTTACCAACTCCGTCATCGCGCAATACATAATTACGAGAAAGAAAAACAAATTTATATTTCGCTTGTATTTTATTCATATTTCTTGCGTCGAGTCGAGCAATTTATACAGCAAATTTAATTTCACAAGTTACGAAGTAATATCGAAAGCACTTTACGTAGCAAATGGAACATTAAAGATGGAGTATGAATGATACAATTTGTCATCCATTTCTATCATCGATAATACGAGAAATGTTTTTGTAAATATGGGGTAAATTAGTTTGTAGAATCTTAGTTTGTAGAAATAGCGTAGTTGTTTCTTCTCGATTAGTGTTTATGTTTTACTTAATCTTTGTCTTTACTATTAATATATATTTATCTTATACATATGTAGTATAGTGTAGTACCGTGGACGGATTGCCTGGAGATATCGGGTGTGTGTTGTCAGCGTTGTCAAGGAGTGTTGTCAGCGTATTATAAAGAGAACCGTTGTAACGAGAGTAATTAGTGACGAATGGTGACTGCGTAAACATAGATTGACGGAGCATTAAACGATATTGTAACAATCATACCGTTACCAAACCTACTAGTATTATATTATTTCCTACATATATTATTATTATATCTCGTTCGTCTTTATTTAAGAGTTACATGGAGTTGAGCGTATCAGTAACTATAATATGCTTTGTTGAATTTGACACACAACGTGTAACCGAAATGAGTTTAGTTTACTTCTACTTTATTTTTGTCATTTTTAATTTGATAAATTAGATCGAATTAAAAGAAATGGACAATATAAGCGAAAATAGTCAATAACTCCATTTTTTAATATTCCCAAACATTATTCTCAAATTATTTATAGGTCGCAAGCATTTGTCTGCAGTTTCTCTACTTATTATGCATATTATCTGTAATAAATAAGCTATTCGTACAAACACTTTGACAATTTGAAAACATGCAAGAGGAGGAATTATTTACAAATAGAATAAAATTTATCTACACTTCTATAGCTAGTTTCTGAGATTATTATTCTACTTGATAATTCTTTATGTGCAATGACTATCGTGGAAATAAGAGTGTTAACTAAATTTACCAGCTCACATTTTATTCGTCTTATTTTTTTTTTTTTTTAAATATATTCACTGATTCTTACACAGGTTAATTTATTTCAATAAAAATTTCTCGAAAATCGATATTAAGAATGTTAATAAAATAACGAATCTACCGAACTTCTTAACATTCTGAATTTTCCATTTTGTATTTTTCAGCTTCTCGCGCATTCACTTCCTTAGTCTTATTCTACAGTTTATTCCAACTAAATAATAATAATCTATTTCTAAAAGCTGTTCACAATTTGGCAGTATTTTAATAATTTCGTGAATAGTAACATATGCACGTTGAAATATTTCCATCAAATTAATTTATAACTCGAAAGAGTATGTTTTATGTGTACGTATATTAAAACTGGAATCAATTGAAATGCATGGAATTTCGAATCTTAATTCAGCACAGGACCGTAGAGAGTTGGTACAATAAAAAAAAAAGGATGTATTAAAAGCGTGTTTCACAAGTTGATGATCGATTTCCTGCTTTAATATTCATTTACCTCAGTCTGTTTCAACCGTAAACCGAAGTGTATTGTATGTGAATCACGATGGAGCCTTTACACACAGCATCGGTGACGAAAGTGCATAAATATGCAGTTTATTCACACGTCCGTATAATTGAATGGAGTTTCAGACGAAACAGCTCAAGCGCTCTCCTTAAATAGAACAATCGAAGTGTATTCTCTAACGTTCCCAATGTTACTAAACTTTTACTCGTAATAACAAACATAGAGGACACATAAATTTATCGAAACTACTTATTTAGAAATCTGCACGTCGTTCCATTTTTACTTCAAGCGTGTGTTTCTCAACAAATGTATTTACTTTTGCGAAAGCTTATTACACACATCATTATAATACTAGAAGTACCAGTGTTCTTCATTTGGTTCTGTCAAGTATGTTTTCTTTACATCCTCGAAACGAACACTAAAGAAAGAGCTTTCGGTAATAAAAATAATTTGTTACAAGTAAGCTACGAACATTCATGCAAATGCAAATCTACAGATTTGTTAAACAGAGATTTGTTGTACCCACTAAATATTATGACTACTTTATTTTAAATATTTTCTGTATTTTTGCATTCTGTATTTTGCATACTATATTTTTGTATTTTTAGATTCTCCGCAATTGCATAAAAATCTGACGTCTGGTTATGAGCGACAAGGATTATACAATAATCGATAGAAAGGATGTTTGTGCAGAATGGTCGGCAGAGTACTGACTGATAAAAAGCTTTAATAACTTGAAAACAAAAAGCGATCACGTCAATTTTTTTTTCCTCATAATACAAAGAAAATTATCATCCTTATCCATCGCGACAGTCACGAAATTTTTTAAACTTTTGATTAGACGATCATGAACATTTCTTCAAACATGAAGAAAAATTCCTACACCTATTTTGCATATTACGATATGATTAAAATGCGAAACAAAGTACAACTGAACAATACAAAAAATTTTCAACTAATCGAAAAATAGAGAAAATTAAAAATTAAAAAATTAAAATCGGTTGGTACTCAGGACCCTGCTGATTACCCTGTGAATGTTAACAATTTCAGGAGTTCAAAATTTATAGGTTTATAGCACGTATTAAGAGACGTAACAAATGCTAATTGAATGAAGGATCTAAAATAAATTTTTCATAACAGAAGTAATCTCATATCATCTGTAAGAATCGTCATATATTATCAACTAAATGTAAGGATATGCACATAGATTTCATAACATATAAATAGAAAAATTAGTTCGTAATTGAGAAAGGGTAATAGAAAACGATAGAGAAGATGTTTATAATTGATTATCGAAAAACAAACGAAAAAGATACAATAATATTGCTAAGTTTCTAAATAATTGAGAATGTATTTAATATTATTACCACATATTCGATATTATCACAATTTGACATTTGTAAGATCCTCGATAGAGTGAAAAAATATGTTTGGTCTCATATCAAAATAAACGAACAGTTTTAATAACACGGAACTATTTAATTGAATTTTGAAAATTGTTGATCATGTCCTTTCCTTGTGGGTTTCATTTGAACTCATAATGGTTATTTTATGATTTCGTTGCAGTAAATGGGATTCAGATAAATGGAATTCTTCTAGCGTACAATCGAAAATATAATCTTACTTATATATTGCATTAGAAACGACACGCTCATTTCCAGCGCGTGTCACACGCGAATCGAACGTTGTTCCGAACTTTCCTGTTTTCACATCTCTTCCAGTGTCAGCCAGGAAAACGCGGTAACCTCGACGAGTTCTCCAAGATAGACCACAGTCTACGTGTTTTCAACGGTCATCGTAAACGTTTCAACTCCGTAAAATAATGTTGAATTTATTACCGGCTAAATATAACAAGAGAAGTATTCGTGAAACGCTTGAATCGAGCACAAAACCGAATTCTCTTTCTAATTTTGAGGTTTTGATATCAGCATTGTATGAATTGCAACTGTTTCGCGCAAACGAACGCGTAAGTCGATTATGCAATTGCTTGAAGATTGTTATATAAACAGGAAAAGTATGTATGCGGACAATGTATGCGGTTCAAAAATAAACTATCACATCGAACTCGGTAATAAGATTCTTCTGGTAATCTAAGACTACATATATGTACAAGATATTAAAAAGAAGAAATCTGATTATAGGATTTTAATACGGTTTTAACGAGTCACGAGAAGAAAGAAAATCAAAAAGGTAAATAAAGTGTTTGAAATATTCAAAACAGAATGATATTATGCAACAAGTTTATTAAAAAATTATTTGCTAATTACTGAGAATAAGGGCGATGTCGCTGATTTCAGTGATCTTGAAATATATCGTCATGGTCAATATTCCGAACAATTTCTGCCTATACATATAATCGTCGCTTGGCTTTAGATTTCAAATTATAAGCAATTTATATTTAATACTACATGTATCGTTTAACGATTTCTTTCACAAATATTTATGCTGTAAATAATATTTCAACGACGGTAGGTCATATTTGATAAGTTTTTAAGCAATTCCACATACCGATTTATCGAAAATTATTCCACACCAGCGTTGCCCGCCGGTATTGGCAGCAGGATATTACTCCCGCCCAATCTATAAACCAGTGATTTTTCTTTTTTTATTTATACAATATTAAAACTGGTTATCATTCTCATCAGTGGGTTAAGTTTAGATTGGTTATATAAAAATGCGACCGTTTACTTCAAAATAGGATGCAATCGTAATTGTAATTTAATCGGAGCTTTTTTGCAAATATCTTGAAAAAGAAGGCTGATCAACGGTTATCTATGTACTTATATCGGAATGTTGGGAAAAACCCCAATGCCCTAGTCCAGACTTTTACTATAGCTACACTTAAGTAATAAAACTAAGAAATAGTTGTAATGTTCTAATCCGATTTTATGGCGATGGGCATGGACTCAAAGTGACATAACGGGTCACTGAACGTAGCCACGGTCACGGGAGGGACGTGTACCTGACAGAAGTATGGAATGATTATATAGCTCTCCTTAAAAATAAAGAGAGGCGGGGAGAAGAATATATAAGGGCAGTCCACTTGGACTGCAGGTCAGTTCATGCAGATAAGTTTTACTTGTACGTGGAGTTATACGTGTATCACATCGCATTCATCATCCCGTTGACCGTGGATTCGTTACCGAACCTGGATTCGTTGTCATCAACATCTCGACCATCCGATCGCCGCTATTACTTATAAATTTGAGTGAAGGTTCATCAAACGCCCAAAATTCCAACCTTAATCCGACATCATTAGTGGGATAATCTAACCAGCGCCGAACTAGTTAACGCCATCGTCTTTCATCGACTGATTTTACATGACCAGAGTGTCGAAAGGATAACACTCACGAATGATATTCAGACCCGGAATCAATTCCTTAAGGAAATGAGAGTTTTCTCTCACGCGAGGAAGAGGCTAGTACCTTCGTCAAATAATCCATTGGCGGAACCTGAAGCTAAACGGAGCAGGCCGTCAGACCTCCGGTCCAAGTGCTATGGGGCCCCCGGGCATAGAGCGACGGAGTGCCGCAAGAGGATGCGGAGCGAAAAGCAGGAGAATACACAACGCCAGGAAGGAAGCCGATCAGCTACACCGTCCAAGGTGATTTGCTTCAAGTGCCGTGCGGAGGGCCATATCACACCTGATTGTCCGCTACTGCAAGGCAGAAAACCCGTCTCCAAGAACGAACGTCGAATCGACTCTTGCGTGGTGGAGACTCCAATGGGTAGTCTAAGTCATCTGGGTGAGTCGTCCCCATTTTCGCGAATACTTGAGTTAAAAGTACGTCTCAGATTTTGTCCGTTGTACGTATTAGCTGTTTTACATTGGAGATAACTTTTCACGTCCTTGCCGATAGTTATTTAAAGTATGATATTATGATTGGTCGCGAAATTTTAAGCCAAGGATTCGATGTAGATGTTACGCACTATAGCCTCGATATTTACAAAACGAAGAAAATTAATGCTTGCAATAAAACAACCGAAAATGAAATCAATCTTAATGAACTAGACACTGAGGTATTTGGTAATGATAAAAGCCGATTGATTTCTATTCTCCAAAATTTTAAAGAGTCATTTATTACGGGTTTCCCGTGTACTCGTGTAAATACGGGCCAGTTAGAAATTCGATTAATTGATCCCAACATCACCGTACAAAGAAGTCCTTATAGACTTAGCGAGGAAGAGCGGAGAATAGTGCGAGAGAGAATCAGCGAACTAATTAGGGCAAAAATCATAAGGCCTAGTAGTTCACCATTCGCGAGCCCTATGTTACTCGTGAAGAAAATGGACGACTCGGATAAACTGTGTGTAGATTTTCGAGCGTTAAATAAAAATACGGTCGCGGATCGGTATCCTCTACCCCTTATCGCGGATCAAATCGCGAGATTGAAAAAGGCGAGATACTTCATTAGCCTGGACATGGCCAACGGGTTTCATCAAATTCCCATTCATCTTAATTCGACAGAGTATACAGCGTTCGTTACAGCCGACGGACAATACGAGTACATAACGATGCCGTTCGGATTGAAAAATGCACCGTCCGTTTTTCAGAGGGCCATTCTCAATGCCTTAGGCGACCTCGCCTATTCATACATTGTTGTTTACTTGGATGATGTCCTAATTATTGCCGACTCGATAGATCAAGCCCTAGAAAGATTAAACACCGTATTAGATACCTTCGTAAAAGCCGGATTCTCTTTTAACTTTTCAAAATGTTCTTTTCTAGAGACATCGGTACTCTACTTGGGATATGTAATTCAGAATGGAGAAGTTCGTCTCAACCCGGGTAAAATATAAGCCTTGAGTTCGTTACCTGCACCAACGACCATCACACAGCTTAGGCAGTTCATAGGTTTAGCTTCGTACTTCCGGAAATTCGTTCCTAAATTTTCACAGGTAATGAAAGCCCTGTACGTGCCTACTTCCGGTAACAAAAACATAACTTGGACAGATAAACGCGAAAAGATGAGGTAAAAGATAATTTCCGTCGTGACTGATGCTTTGGTGTTAACGATATTTGGGGTTACTTTAATGCATAAAGTTGAAGGTAAAAATAGAGTAGTAGAATACTATAGTAAAGGGACTAGCCCTGCGGAATGAAGGTCTCATTCATATGAGCTAGAAACGTTAGTAGTTGTAAATGCTGTTAAACATTTTCGCCACTATTTACATGAACGAGAATTTCTTGTTGTAATTCCTTGTAGGCCTTGTAGACTGATTGTAATTCCTTGAAGGCATCTAGTAATAAGGTCCATTTAAATGACAGGGTTTACGGGTGGTGGGCTCACTTACAAACTTTTAATTTTGACATTGTGTATCGAGAAGGTAAACGAATGGCTCACGTAGATTTCTTTCCGCGGAATCCCATAGACATTGATCATAGTATAATTAACAAAGTCAAAGAAAAGAAATTAATCTGACCGAAATCTCAGAAGATTGACTGTTAGCAGTATAACATCGGGATCTTCAAATTTCAGAAATCGCCACTAAATTGCAAAATGATGAGCTCGCGGAAGATGTCGCAAATGCGTATGAATTAAGATCTGGTACCATTTATCGTAAAATACAAAGAGAAGGCAGGACTCTCTTCTTGCCCATTGTCCCAAGAGGTTTTAGGTGGTCCGTTATTAACCATGTGCACCAGTCAACTATGCACTTAGGTTGGGATAAAACGCTTGAAAATCTGTACGAGTATTACTGGTTCGAAGGAATGGCGAAATATGTTCGTAAATTCGTAAAGAACTGTCATGCTTGTCAAGTTTCGAAGGCCAGTTCAGGTAAAATACAAGCTGAATTACATCCTATACCTAAGACCAGCATACCTTGGCATACAGTTCGCGTGGACATAACGGGCAAACTAAGCGGTAAAAGTGATTCGAAAGAATATGTCATTGTTTTGGTCGACGTCTTCACTAAATTCGTATATCTGCATCATACTCGTAAAATAGATTCCCTTAGTGCCGTTAAAGCACTTAAATGCTATATTTTTATTCGGCAGTCCTTGCCGGATAATAGCGGATCAAGAGAGGTGTCCTACGGGTAAAGAATTCCAAGATTTCTGCCAAGGTAAATACTAAACTCCACTTAATCTCAACCGGTGCGAGTAAGGCCAACGGACAGGTAGAGCGTATTATGGGTACGTTGAAAATTATGTTCACAATCATAGAAACGACCGGAGGATCGTGCCTAGACGCGATTGGCAAAATACAATTGGCTTTGAATTGCACCACCAACCGCGTGACTAAATCGAGTCCATTAGAACTATTAATCGGTAGAACAGCAAAGACCTTACGACTCCTTGATACTCGATAATATCGAAGAAAGAGAAGTAGATATCTCTGATGTAAGACCGCAGGCAATAGAGAATATAGAAATTAGTGCTAGGTACGATAAAGGCGTATTTGACAAAACTAAAGCTAAAGTAGTTAGGTTTAATCTTGGTGATTTTGTATTACGCAAAAACGAGGAAATAAAATCAAACTAAATTAGATCCAAAATTTAAGGACCCGTTTGTAATAGCTGAAATTTTGGAAGGAGTTAGGTGTGTTTCGAAAACAGTAGACGGTAAACGATTCTATAAATACAGTCACAACAGATTGAGAAAAATGCCAGATAGTTGTATTCCCGCTGAGTTGGATGTCTGTAGCGATAGCGAGAGCAGTGATCATGGCGATATGAGTACCGCGATCTCGGAGGATCATAAGCACAATGCTCATACCGTCTAGCAGATTATGTTATGAAGCTCGATAAGGTCGTGTGATAGATTCACATGCACCATGAGTGATAATATTATGAAGCTCGGTAAGGTCGTGTAGTGGATTCACATGCACCATGAGTGATAATGTTATAAAACCTGTTAAGATCGTGTAATGGGTTCATATGCACCATGAATGATAATGCTATGAAGCTTGTTGAGGTCGTATGATAAATCCACATGCATCCGGGGGAACAATATAATCAAACTCTGTGTGGTCGTACGATCCAGAAAAAAGAGATACATTTGAGTGCGAAATCGAGAATGGCCCATCAGGCCATTGCGATCAGACTGATGACCCGCAGGATGCAACTAGCATTTTGAATACTAATCATGATGTCACTAATTTGTTTTCTTTTATTCCTTTTGTTACCAAATCTCTGAATAAAATTCGCTGTTAAACCGGACCCTTGGTTTATTTGGACATTTAGCTAAAATGTAAACAACGTTAGTTGTATCGAGTGTAATGTTGGGAAAGCTCAATATTTTAGTTATACCCGAGGACGTGTAATAGTCAGGATGGCCGTGTTGGAGATGGAGCCTTCCCTTTGAGACTTCGGGAAAATCCCTTAACACCGTAATCTAGGTTCTATTATAAGCGTAATTAAACAATTGTATTTGTTCGAGATTTGTGATAATGAGCTTGGGCTGGAGGCGACAACCAGTCGCCGAACGTAGCCCTTCTATAGCTCTCCATAAAAGAAATAATTGTAGCGGCACGCGACAGTAAACATTCCAACGGTTTCTGTCCCGTAGCTCGCCACACGCAGACCCTATTCTTCAAGTAAGATGATTACCAGGTGTCGACGCATCTTTACAGTACATGTTCAGCTAGCCTAAGGAGCCGCTATAAATCTTAAGATTTAGTTAACTAAAGTCCTTCAAACGAACAAACAGTCTTTATCCTAACAGTCCCTAAATTTACCACCTACTACGGAAAGATACGACAAATCTGCTTTTCTCACGAACGACGCTTCCCGCTAGCAACTTTCTCTCAAGGGCGGTTAGCATCCTTCTACCACCACCATAGAAATTAGCCAATTAACAGGACCGTCCATTTCTCTCACTTTCGGAACGCCGGCTTTTCTCGACGAATCCGATGATCTCGTGTCCTTAGACACATCCCATCATAGTTTTCCTCTAGAGCATCATCACGACGGAAAGTCATTCTCTCTCGTGAGGTCGTATTAGCGAGTGACTTGTCGTCTTTACGCTCGGTGGATATTCCACGTTTTAACAAAGAGTTAGTTTAGTAGTACTTTCACCGTAGCCAAGCAAGTCGATTACGACCTGGGCTTTGGAAGAAAACGTATTCTATTGACCGCGGATTCGTTGTTGGACCTAGGATCATTGTCATTAGCTTCTCGAGTGTCTGATTATCGCGGTTACTTGTCAAATTCTGTAGTAGTCGTATTTGCACTAGTTAATGCCTTCTCCATTGCATAGCAACAATGTGTAATCCAAATGAGGATACACGATCCTGATGTCACTCAACGTGCAAGTAGTACTCCTCTGAATAGACTCCGTCGCAATCTAAGTGAAACTGCCCTTATATAGTCTTCTTTCCACCTCTCGGGTCAATCTTTGTTTTTAAGGAGAACTATATAATTATTCCATATTTCTGTTAGGTACACGTCCCTCCCGTGACCGTGGCTACGCTCAGTGACCTGTTATGTCACTTCGAGCTCAAGCCCATCGTCATAAACCTCGAGCACCCATAATCGGATTAGAACATTGCAACTATTTCTTAGTTTTATTACTTAAGTGTGGCTATAGTAAAAGTCTGGACTAGGGTATTGGGGTTTTCCCCAACATTCCAAAAGGGAGGTCCCAATGTCCTTTCATCTACGACATATATATTACAGAATTCTCAAGAACATATTTCAAGGTCATTGTTACGCCACGAGGCTTACCACAAGCTGTATTTCTAACCGTCGCTCGCGGTCCTACAGTGTCGCAGACAGATCGTCTTATCTGCCCGACGGAACATACACAATGTATCGACGAGCGTATAGTTGTCACCAAGCAGCGAGATCTAGACACGTCGATTTTGGTCCGTTATCTTTTCCACACAAGTCATACACATAAAGAAGGTGGCATACGTGATCATAGGCGCGAACGGTGGCGTGACCCGAGCATAGTGGGGGTCGTCTCCCAGAGAAGACAAAGAAATGATCGAAGGGCAATCAGTCCCTTCTGAAGAGTCAAACGTTATACATCGAAAGGTCCAACGATTAAAATTAAGGTCGCATAGTCTAACGAATTCATTGAGAGATATCGTAAAGTCGAGTCGACTTTCTGTAACATATTTACTGTATTCATTGTTAAACAATTTGTGGCGTGTTCATCATATTATTGTAAAATATTATCAAATATACCATTTTATGTTAACCTGTTAATACAGTGTTAAATTCATTAAATTACCCCTGTTATCTTAATCGAAACAGGGGAACGACTATTTCGTGGCGTCGATTAACGGAATCGTAGCGAGAATTTACGCCTCTCGCTGACGCGTTTTTCTCGCGACCGCGTCTCTCCGCGAACGGTCGTAACATTGGTCCTTCGAGTCGGATACAGTGGCAAATGAAAAGTGTTGACAGTGACACCCACTACCATACAGTGCCACGTGAATCCAACACAAACAGCAGCAGAAGCGTTACCACTCCAGGGAAGTCAGTAACGCCAGGAATCATCAGTCTTGAAGAGGCATAACCCGGTGGTTGAAAAACGCAACCACGCAGCCTCACACCAACAACTAGAGGGTCACCTTCCGCAAGAACACGTCTTACACGTTAAACGAGACACACGCGGTGACGAGTGACATTTAAACTTACAACCACAAGGTAAGCTCGTTCTTTGTATTGTCTTTACAATCCGCTATATCAATGGAGAACACAGACAAAATTACCTTCTTGCATCGGAGACGAGGCTTTCAAGTCGACCGATTTACTACTTTATCGATGAATACGAACTGTTACTCGATGATTACGAACAATCCGGCCAACCGAATAAGGCCTCTTTAACACGTTGACTGCCACGCGTATTTTCAAAGAAATCTCCGTCAGGCTACGCGTACAGCAGTACCAAGCGTTCTCTGCTAGGTGCTCCCATCGATATTTTAGTAATGCGAATCGCTCAAGTGGTGGTCTCAAGAATGATCTTTCGTTTCATTTGTTCGCAACATTAAAACCACTAACTGTTGAATATAATAAAAGAAAGTGTGGTATAGATTATTCCGACCAAATGGTTTCTTGTGCCACCACAATTAGAAAATGAATCAAATGGTACAGAAAACTTGACATTCAATTCTTTCTGGAAATTTCTGTTGTAAACGCTTTGACGGTTTACAAAATTGCAACAAGGAAGAATATAAATATTAAAATATTTAAACAATTATTAGTTGCAAAATTATTAAGGTTGTCTGAAAATACAAAAAATCCTTGTCGACGGAGTCAGCATAATATCGCCGTTTAGAAAGATGATTCCGGAAGAAGCATTAGACGCGCATGCAAACTATGTTATGCAAATAAAAGACGTCGAATGGACCAAACAAAGGCACAAAAGAATTTGAAGGAAACAACAACTTATTGTCCAAATTGTCCCGACCAACCTCAGCTATGTATAGAATACTTTAAAGTTTTACATTCTACATTTTTTTTAATAAACCATTTTCGTATTTTTATTTTATAACAATTCAACTATTATTACAATTAATTATTAATTAACAATTTATTATTATGGAATATCTTGTCAAATACCTACGACGATCCTTCGCAAGTAGTCAAATAAGCGACACCCGAATACGGGTATCGTGGCGGTCAACGTGTTAACGGCCTACACGACACTGCTCGTCGACACGTGGTAGCAATACAGATTACTACAAGAAGAATTGGAAGATTTAGGCGAGGAAGAAGACGCGCGCGTTTTCGAAATAACAAACACATATTACGATCTAGTAGTACGAATACACACTCTCATGGATGATGCACCAACATCGTCGTCGAAATTGCTAAGCTGCGAATCATCTAATGTCGCCGAGTCGACATCAATTAAACTATCAGAAATTCATTTGCCTACTTTCCACGGTACCATCGAGAATTGGCATTCATTTTACGACTCCTTCTCGTCCACTATAGATCGAAGCGAGCGACTTACACCCGTACAAAAATTTCATTATCTCCGATCCTCCTTGACCGGAAAGGCCGCGCGAAGTATCCAATCGTTAGACATCACAGGGTTAAATTATTCAATCACTATTGACGTTCTTAAAGGAAAATTCAATTGCCACAGTCAAGTCCGCATGCGCCACTGGGACTTGATTTTCGACTATCCGAAAATAACCAAAGAGACACCCGAAGCCATAGATGATTTTCTCGAGACGATCAAAGTAAATCTCCAAGCATTAGAGAAACTCGACGAACCAGTCATATCAAACGTCGTTCTTATTAAATTATTCACATCGAAGCTACCTTCAGCCATCATTCGCAAATGGCAACGCACATTATCTGACAAGAAAATGCCGTCATATACGCACCTGGTAGACTTTCTTAAAACACGGACGAACGGCGATAGGACAAGCTCAACATCAACCGCGATAAAAAGGGCGTCCGATCAACATAACCG